CCCCAAAACCCCAAAACCCCAAAACCCCTGCCATAGATATTTATGAAATAAAGTTTAAAATTAAGTTTATATTTGATATTTTAATGAGATATCATTAATGAACATATTTCTGAAAGTTTTTATTATTCTCATATACTATATCTTAGAAAGTAATCCTTTCCTTTAATAGAAAATTGCTTCTTCATTTTTCATAGAAGTACTCCTTAAGTAGCCATACCAATTGATATTCTAGATTTAATAGACTTACTCAGAGTTGCCATTAAATTAACATTTTTCAATGATATTTTGCTCATTTTTTTATTTTCCTAAAACCTATCATATTTTACTTTCTCATCTTTTGCTAGAAAGTCAGTGTACTTTTTACTTAATGGACTATGCCCAAGGTAATAACTCACCCTTTTCTCCCCATCTTGAGAATTTACTAGTTCTCCAAATTTACTCGAAAAAGTATACTGTGAATCTGCATTTAATTTTGAAAGACTATAACTTGGATTCATTTTGCTTAAATTTCTAAACATGGGACTCTTTATAATGTTATCTATCTTATTTGAGAGCGGTGTGTCTTATACTATACTTTAATGTAATGTATTTATTTACGGTAGATTTTTCCTAAATAACTCAAGTTTATGAGCTGTTTTGTTTCTGGGAGGTAAATACGAATTTTGATTTTTGATTGAGACTTGTATATCTGGGGATATTTGAGTCTGTAATTAAGGTACCTTATCAATCATTTTTGAATTTCTCGTTTATTAGTTATATGAAAGAGCTTATTATTTGGATTGAGTAACCAATTAATTATTTAAACATAGTGAGCAAATTTACTAAGTTTAAGAACTAGACATTGTTGACTAATTTCCTTGTTTTAAGCTCTCATTCTTTTAAGAGTTCAATGCAATATGATTTTTACTTAACAATCTCTTTTTATCTGCTGAAGAACTAAATCTCTGTAATTAATCTCTACTTTAGAATGACTCAGCCGATTCTAAACTTTATCTATCAAATTGATTCAATACTTTATGAGATTATCTATGATTTATATTCCTCTTTAGTATTTAACTAAGATCTTCATTGAATCAGTACTTGTTGTAAAGATTTCCCTCCATATTTTCATTTTCTAGCGAACTATCTGACATAAAAATTTATTTCTCTAAATGTTGATCAGAAAAATCATCCTCATCACTTTCATCATACCCATTAATAATTGAAATTGAGATTCGATCTTGATTTTCTTGGAAGTTTGATATTGAGTTTTATTGATTGAGTGTAGCTTATAATTTTTTAAGATTAAATTCTTGTTTTCTATATAGGTTACCAGCTTTATTAGTGGGAAAATGTTTCTTTTTTTAATTTAGCTCGTTCAAATTAATGATACCTCTTTTATTCAATTCCTTATCAGTTTCTTTTATTAATTACTTCAGCTTCATTGACTGTATTTGCAAATATTCCACAATATCAACGTTAACACCTCTCGGTCTTTCAATTACTATAGATTCGAATTAAAAACTAGGTTTTATTTTGTATACTAAGAGATCTTGATTCATGTTATTATTTAAATTGTTATATCTATTCACTGGAAATACCTAAACAAGCATTATAATTATAGTAAATAACAATTACTAATATTTTGATACGCTTATTTGTTATTTACCTGTTTATCTTACAACAAGGGGTTTTGGGGTTTTGGGGTTTTGGGGTTTTGGGGTTTTGGGGTTTTGG